GTAATTTTGTATATATACGTACATATGTAGCTTTGATTCAAAACCAGTGGATTTATAAAGAGATTAACTTTCTTTGATAAAGCACTAATAATAAAACACCGCCATGCAAGAAGTATATTTGAGCTTAATCCTGACAGTATATTGCAGTATATAATATCAAATCAGGTCCGTAGGAAGCAATTTCAGTTGGGGGGGGGGCACAGCCATACATTTTCAGTTGAGGGGGCACTATCAACCAAAAATTCCTTGACAATCAAAAAAAAAAAAAAAAAAGGAAAAAAAAAAGGTCATCAGACGTTTTTATTGAGGGGGCACAAGCATGTAGTAGCTATGTTTTCTATAGTAATCTATATATCGGCAAAAAAAATTTTTTGGGGGGGGCACGCCCCCCCCCCCCCGGTTCCTACGGCCATGCAAATACTATTTTTATTTACAAGCCGAGATAAGGTATATTGAAACCCCGAACAAGAACCCGATGACTGTCCAAGAACTAGTTGATGGAATCTGTTTCAGTGCCAGGGATAAAGAAAAAAAGTCAGACCAGAAATATAACTTGATAATCATTACTTATGCCTTTACAATAACTTAGGTTTTTCTTTCCCACCAATGTAAATATTTTGCCGTTGTGTCTCGTGTATACTTTGCTTATTAATGGTACAACTTTTTTCAATATAATTTTCGCTGATCACGTGTAATAAATTCTCAGAAATAGAGAGGGAAAGGATGCATGGTACATAGAATTAAATTTCGTCATTTGCTTAAAAGCTTTCTTTGGATTGATCCTGAACAGCAATTGGAAGTCTTCCATGATGGTGGTTATATCTCCTATAGTGAACAGTCATCGCAAATACTTTCTTCGTCCGGCAGTAAAAACAGCCTGATAAGATACTATAGGGCAAGATAAAAGGGCTCATTTATTTCACATTCTTTTTTGGGGGACTAAATCCATATTTACCAGAGTACCGTAGAAACTAGCCCCAAACACGCTTATAAATCACTTTTGATAATAGATTATTTGTAAAGGTTGCGGACTTCTACATTTGCCTTCATAATATTTTGTAATTAAAGATAAAAATCCTGGGCCATTTGGAGGTTTACGACGTGGTATTGATTTTTGTCGTCAATGATTAAAATTCAATAAATTTTAGGGGTTAAGACACAGTCTCTAAATCCTTAGAATTTCACCCTGTTACGATTTCGCACCAAAAATTAATAAATATAAAGCCGTATAGAGTTTGTGAGCATTAATAAAGATATAAACAATACGAAATGTTGAAATGTATTTAATATATATATATATATATATATATATATATATATATATATATATATATATATATATATATATATATATATATATATATATATATATATATATATATATATATATATCAAACTGATTTACTAAGAAAAAGCATACAAGTTCTTTATGACAAAATAAGAAGAAAAAATATCCGATGAAAAATATATGTATATTGTTTTCGTAGTAGCGTTTTATCTGGGAAAAGAGTATCCTGATCGACTTGAGAGGACTTATATAATTGTATAATTGTATTGGAATAATTTACTGATTTCTACCAACATTAGATAATTTGTAATGCCGACAGTTTAAGATTTTTTTTAAATTCAAACAAAATAATATTAATGCCATAAGGTATGAAATACAATATTTTTGTTGGAACTAAGTTCTAAATAATCATAAAATGCAAAATGTAAGGCGTGTTTTAAAATACGAACATCGAAACCATTGTTTACAGTTATTCTATTTTTATTATTTTTTTCTTTTATTTATTTATTTTTATTATTTCACATAAATGTATTAACATTTTTCTTAGAGAATAACAAATTCTGGTACATGAAATAATAATTTTGGAACTTAGTTTTCAACAAAAAAATACAAAAACAAAATAACGGAGGTTTTATTTAGCATTTAATTCTTATGTTCTAATTTACATTATGAGACACGAAATTGGACCTACATGTGCCAGAGCCCGCGGATTTTATTACATTCAGTAGTTTAAAACTGACACATTAGAGAATTTACATTTCATTATTATCCTTTATTTTGCACAAAAAGTACCAAGATAATGCAGAAATATTTCTGCAGTTTCTGGTAAATAATTGTAATAAATTAATTATTAATTAATATAGAGTTGAAGCTGTATTATAATAATGTATTTTTGATATATAATAAAAATGCGTGTTTAAAAAAAAAATGATATTACAAAAAAAAAAAAATATATTTAACTGATTTCGCTTTTAAAAATCTTCAGTGCGATTTCTTTCTGTCAGTCTTGTTGAGGTTAGAACATTTAGCACGTAAATTACATAAAAACCGTGGCCCAGTAACGACATTTTCAAGTATTCATGGCATTAAAAGCTCTTCAGGAAACATCCAAATAGGCAAGCTCAATGTAAATGACGCTCTGTTTATTTATAACTTTTACATTATAACCTCGTAATTTATATCTTGATTATCACAATTCTCAAATCAAAATTTAATGTACCTCCTTTAATGTTTGGAATTAGGTGTATGAAACACTGCAGGACCAAATTCAAAGGTTTCTTTTATGGAAGTTAACGATAGGCTAAACGGTTCATCTGAAGCACATTATTATATTTATTCAGTGAAACATCGATGGTGTCAAAACTGTCCGTCCTTAATGCCTTTACAACCTAGTGTTAACATCATTTTAATTGGAAGGAACATTTAGAATACCAAAGAGAGCTTACGCCCCCTTTTCTTCGATTATTGGAGTAAATCCATGAAAAGTCGTTAAAATAGAAATAATTTTTGAAAATCGGGAACATTTAATTAAGATTTAACACACTTTCAGGTATAAAAATGAGATATGACTTGTAATTAATTAAGAAATAAGAAAGTTTACAAACCATACTCGGTAACCGATTATAAATTGCCTGTCCCAGTAATATTTGAAGAACGCAGTCACTACCTGGTATATATTTAATGCTACAAAATACCACTGGCAATGCATACTGATTTTATACGTGTGCATTGTTATTTTACATACTTACTATTTGTTATTTTACAAAACTCAATTTTGTTTGAAAAATATGTATATAAAAATTGATAAATATGTATATAAAAAAAATCTTAAATAGTAAAATCTTATACAAAATTTATAGAGATTTTATTAGTAAATATATTTCCGAAAGCTGTTTAAATTGCATCAAATTATATATATATATATATATATATATATATATATATATATATATATATATATATATATATATATATATATATATATATATATATATATATATATATATATATAAAGAATAAATGGATGAACGAAGAAAATTTCTGACCATGATATAGCAGATTTTTTACTTTTCACTCTAAAGATGTTTGCAATCAACTTAAATGATACTAGGAATTTTGCCCCATCCACTAATAAACTCATGTCGTGATTTTCTGACGCGACAGAAAACAAATGCGATAAAAGATAAGTTCCTCAGCAGATTAATGAATGAACACTACGCAATGATTCTAATTAATGAATGAGGCACAGCACAATATTGTCATGATTGACATTCAATAGCCCTGGACTAGAGCACTGATTTCGATGAATAGTGCTATCTAAATGCAATACCTATGATATCTACGGACTTGACTGTGTAGCAAGTAAATTACTGGTGATGTGAAATATCTATGAAATAATTTGTAGACTATTGTATATTAATATTATTATTTGGGGGGTGGGTGAAACTTGTGAAACATGAAATTTGTGAATATGTATAGCTAATTGATTTAGTGCATTACTCATATATGCTACGACCAAATTTTTTGCAGTTTTTCTCGTCACGTATTTGTGATTTGTTTTCATTGGTATATATTCATATGCTTACTAAGTTCATTTCCCAAGAAGTTGAAATTTTTTGACATAATTGTTTCTTAAACAGCTGGTCAAAACTTAATGAAAAGGTTTTATTGCCAGGATAATACCCTATTTGGACATTAATCCTCCATGAATCTAGACTAGAGAGTAATACCGGTTAATTCACATTATATACTTTATTGTACTCCGATCAAAACGGATACCCATGTCCTGAAGTGGTTCGGAGTTTATATAACTCTTAGAATTAAACTCCGAGTCTTGCTTTCTTCATGTGTTCAGTTAAGGCGATTTAGTTTATAGGGTATAAAACGAAGACAGTAATATTATTTTAATCTTTTGTCAGGCTATTTATTAAATGAACAAATGATATTTTTTCCGTCCAACTAATCCGGGTTTTTTTTTTCGTGACTGACCTACTGAGTTTCTAATAGCAAAGATACTTTAGAGCATAATATACCTAAGGTATTTCTGTAGTAAGGAAAAGTGTTCACTTGTGCAAAACGTGATTATCTATCTAATTCAATAATATTTGAGCATTTTTGGTCAAAGATCAAGGGTCATAGTTTTTTTGTTTGAAAGTCATTAAATATGGAGTCCCTCTTAATTAATTTGAGCCCCCCTCCCCGGTCCCACTCCCAACGCTTTACATCAGTAAAGCGTGGAAGTAAAAGACAAGATTTCCGGTAATCAAGTTTTCTTAGGGATATGCAGTAAACGTTAATTTATAAATTAGTTTCTAGGTACTGCTTTTAGGCTGATTCTTTATAAGAGTTGAAGTGGACTCCACTATTATGTCTTAATCATCATACTTGAAAATAAACACTTTCAATCTATAAATTTTGGTGTTATTTTTGTATCTTACCCTAAAATTGATTACGATCAGTTTTCTTAATCTACACATTCAGGGAATTTCATTTATATATTTTTTTTTTACCTTTAAGCTATGATTTTGTAAATGATCCTATATATATATATATATATGAGTTTGCAGCTGTCAGTAATGTCTAGTTAAGATATGCTTCGCATACAAGAATGAATCTTACCTATATAGATACACCTATGATGGTTTTATGAATATAATATCAACACAAATAGGACAGTTATGGACATTTCTTTAGTCCTCTACCTGACACTTACAGTTTCACAATTTTCCAACTTGCTGCAGCGGGCATTTCCGCCGCCGTTGGCAACGTCCTGTAACCTTGTCCTTGACATTCGACCTCGCACTCGTCTGTGGTGCCAGACTTGAGGGTGCAGGAACACATACTGGGGCACGGGGTACATGCCGTCGCCGTTTGAAAAACGGCTCCGAATATACACAGAAAGACTCCAAACCGCAAAAACATGATGTGTACTGGGGCAAGAGATTGACCATAGCGCAACTTCTTCCGAGAGCGGTTCCAAGTTACCATACTATGGAGGATAGACTAGATGAAGCGAAATATTTCCCTAAAATTCCAACGGAAAGCAGCATAATTCTTGCAGGTATCCTTTTATGAATTATTTTTTTTTTTACGATACCATTTCTTCACTGTGTTATTTCACCTAGTTTTCTCCTGTATTTTCAATAATCAACCTGAAAATAGGAAATAAACACATATTTGACACAAGAAATGACGCTTTCCTTCAATACACATATGCACTGCAAGCCGGAACCAGTTCATTTAATAAATACATCAGATGATTAACAGTGAGGAACTTTAAAAGAAATATCTCCCGTACTCTGGTACGACAAATTATACCGGTGTCGTTTATTGATTTAATTCTCAAATGCGACACGCTGAATCTAATCACAAGAAATGATGAAAATATACCACTGACTACATTTGGGGAAAAAAGAGAATACCTTTCTCCATATTCCTGGTACACGACCTAATATCCAGCCTTAAAATGTCATGTTCAAATATTTTTTTCAATCCTCCATTAGAAATGTTTAAATCACGTGACATCGTCTTTGTTGGCTTTGGCTTATTCCCATACACAGGTAGATTAAACAGCCATGTCTCACTCGGCTTGGCGTAGCGTAGCAACATATGACGCTAGTACGCTGGTCTTTAAAAGTTTTCGCTTTCTGAAACGTGGCCATTTACCCATACATTTTTAAATTTGTTTATTTAACAAATATATCTTAACAAAAATTTCTATTACTTAATTTAAAAATTTGCTTGATATATAATTCGTTCAATTTTTCATTCAAACTGGAGGGGAAAAAAGAGGCATTTATAAATATGCAATTGGTGATTGTATTCGATTTCTCTGATAAGGGTAGGACTTTCTTCAGAAAAACAATAAATGGCCATGGGATTACACATTGGCATTGCTGCACCTATTCGTATGCGTAACACTGATAAAGTGCGCTTATTTCAACACAATGCAAACAATCGTTTTGTGCAAATGCTTTGTTTGAAAAATTTTAGCTGATAATATCGATCCCCATACTAACTGGTGTCTCAACAATTTATTTCATAATGGTGTAAAATACTTTGGCTCTCTTTTTCTTCTCATTGATCGTTTCCTGGCTGTATTATTTCGACCGTGGTGACTTCAAAAGTTGTTAGTCTAGATATTGTCAAGATCCGTCCATAGCTGATAGACTTCATAAATATGGTAAACAACTAGTGAGCTATCTGATACGTATTAGGTACTCCTCTTGTCTTACAGTTATTTTAGGTATAACCAGTCCTGGTAATGTAGATCCTTGATTGTTCTATTTAGGTTCTCGGGTCAGGGTTTTTTTGTTAGATTTTACACTTTGTAGTTCCTACGAGGATATTTCAAACGTGCAAATCACGGTGCACTAATATGTATAGGACACTAAAACCTCAGTTACATTTCCAAAAACGAACAACGGCCGACGGATTTTGAGACAAAAATGCGATTTTTCGGACGATAGTCGGCAGATCATCGACCGTTGTCTTGCCCGATTATGGCCTCTTTTTTTGTTGGCCAACCAATTTTGTGTTCGTCGGGCCCAGTTATAATTTTTTCTGCCTCTGTGGCCGATTTCTTCAATTAAAGCAGTCATTAAATAGTCCGTCGACCAACCCTCGATCATCGTCCGACCATCCGAAGACTGTTAAGTCGGTCGTCGGTCGGTCGACATTTTGGTATTAGGTTTTCGTAAATGTCCGTCGACGATGAAAATCAAATTGCGGCTCAGCGCTCGATGATCGGGCGACGACTGATCGACTTATAAATATTAAAACTTTTATTAATGTCATCGCTGTTCCTAGGAATTAATTTGACTGCTCCGCGTCGCCCGATACTAGTGTCGACCAATCCTGTTTTTCAGCCGACGACACGAGAAAATTTGGTCTCCGGACCATCGGCTTCAGTGTGACCTAGGTATTAAGAATTTGCAGGTTTCTGATTTACAAACTAATTCAGTGACTTGCTAAATTCTTTATCTTGAACACTGAAAAAACGTAATCCCGCTTCAGACCCATTTTATTACACTGTTTGAAAAAATCTATCTGAAATGCTTTCACTTTCAATGCACTATAATTTTGTTCTCTCTTGGAAATGGAATCTATCATGATGTAAATGTACAACGTGACAAATCTACACATTCTTCCTAAGATATTTCTTGAAGAAATCTTCCTATGAAGAATACAGTTCTTATACTAGAACTCTAAACTGTTATAGCAGTAGATAACTAGAACTCTAAATGTTATAGCAGTAGATACTGCTGGTAAACTACCTATTGATCGTAATATTAATTTGGATGATACAAGTTGCTTATAATGATATTTTATCACAAAATAGTTTATAAAAGATAACTTTATTGAGAATTAATACATTTCCTGTAATTTTTTGTAAGGGATTATCTTTCTAGGCATACATTGAGTTCTTGGTGTCATCGTTCATCAACAAAACCACTCCAACGTGTATCAGTATATATCAAAAGACTAAAATGGTAAGTTTTTAGTATTTTCTTTCAAATGTATGAATGCCTTAATTACGTACTTTACCTACCAATTTCTATCTTTTTCTTTTAATCAAACTTTTAAAACAATCAAAGTGGATCGATCAATTTTTGCAATTACTTCCAGTCAGGTAATTAAAAAAAAACTTAAAAACATAAAATTTATTTTATTATTATTATTTATTTTTTTTTAGTAAAGTTAGTATCTTTAGACAAGCTGTGTCATGCTTCAGACTGGTATGGTATTTTTGTCTGTATTGTATACTGTATGTTTTATAGTAAAAGGATAAAATATTTCATATTAAGCATTAAAAGAGGTGTTAAGTGACATTGTGTCATCTATGCAGAAAAACAATCTAACATGAAGGCCTTTGCTTTGATTTTTGAAAATGATATTTCTTTTGGCACCTTATCCCGTATACGGGTTGATTGTATTGTTCACAAGGTCACGGGATCATGTTGTCTGCCTTTGTCTCGCACAGTCTATTGACAGCGAACAATATCTAATGAGCTAATAAACATCTATCTTTCTTGTAAACAATGAGTGTTTAGTCAAATGGAACCATTCATTACACCTGGAATTCAATATACCCATAATATTATATAAGGAGTATGGAGACATACACATTTTATGAACTTTAATAGCATTTTAATTTATTGTCCTTGAAGCTGATAAAATATTAAAAAAAAATAATAATGTCAAAACAAAGTGTGATTGAATGTTTCTAGGTGCATTAAATCGGGGTCAATATCAACTTCATCATTTTTAGCTCTACTGGTCAGAGACCAGAAGAGCTTATGCGATAGTAAGGTGTCCGTCGTCCGTCCGTCCGTCTGTCTGTCCGTCTGTCTGTAAACAATTTTTCAAAACGCTACTCCTCCTACAGTTTTGGTCCGATTTCAGTATAACTTGGCACACAAGTAGACTATACTAAGATACATAATTTAGTGCATCGGTTTTTGATTTCGATGGACGGTGTTGCCATGGTTACTAAAAACAGAGATTTCTGTGAAATTCCTTTAAAATGCTACTCCTCCTACAATTTTGGTCCGATTTCAATATAACTTGGCACACAAGTAGACTACACTAAGATACATAATTTAATGCATCGGTTTTTGATTTCGATGTATGGTGTTGCTATGGTTACTAAAAATAGAAATTTCTGTGAAATTCCTTTTAAACGCTACTCTTTCTACAGTTTGGTCCAATTTCAATATAACTTGGCACACAAGTAGACTATACTAAGATACATAATTTAGTGCATCGGTTTTTGATTTCGATGTATGGTGTTGCCATGGTTACTAAAAATAGAAATTTCTGTGAAATTCCTTTAAAACGCTACTCCTCCTACAGTTTTGTCCAATTTCAATATAACTTGGCACACAAGTAGACTACACTAAGATACATAATTTAGTGCATCAGTTTTGGATTTCGATGGACGGTGTTGCCATGGTTACTAAAAATAGAAATTTCTGTGAAATTCCTTTAAAACGCTACTCCTCCTACAGTTTTGGTCCGATTTCAGTATAACTTGGCACATAAGTAGACTACATTAAGATACATAATTTAATGCATCGGTTTTGGATTTCGATGTATGGTGTTGACATGGTTACTAAAAATAGAAATTTCTGTGAAATTCGTTTAAAACGCTACTCCTCCTACAGTTTTGGTCCAATTTCAATATAACTTGGCACACAAGTAGACTACACTAAGATACATAATATAGTGCATCAGTTTTTGATTTCGATGGACGGTGTTGCCATGGTTACTAAAAATAATGTCTGTGAAATTTCTTTAAAATGCTACTCCTCCTACAGTTTTGGTCAGATTTCAATATAACTTAGCACACAAGTAGACTGCACCAAAATACATAATTTAGTGCATCGGTTTTTGATTTTGATGAACGGTGTTGCCATGGTTACTAAAAATAGAAATTTCTGTGAAACTTCTTTAAAACGCTACTCCTGCTACAGTTTTAGTCTGCTTTTAATATAATTAGGCATACAAAAAGACTATACTAAGATACATAATTTAATGCATCGGTTTTTGAATTCGATGAACAGTGTTGCCATGGTTATTTAAAATAGAAATTTTTGTGAAATTCCCATAAACGTTACTCCTCCTATAATTTTGGTCTGATTTCAATCTAATTTGGCACACAGTTAGAAAACACTACGATACATAATATGTATTTCTGTTTTTTTTTTATTTCTGTGAATGGTTTGTCATGGTTACTAAAAATAGAAATTTCCGTGAAATACTTTCAAAACGCTACTCCTCCTTCAGTTTTCGTTTGATTTCAGTATAACTTGGCACAGAAGTAGACTACATTAAGATACATAATTAAGGTCTTCCGTCTTCACGGAAGACCTTATAGTGATTCTACTGTTTCTTATTATTATTATTATTATTATTATTCTTATTATTATTTTTTTGACTTTCTAATTTTGTGCACGCGATTTCTCAGAGACTATTGAGTGAATTGGGATGAAATTTGCAGGGAAAACGTGTCGTAGGCTGAAGTTATTTTATCAGGGAGCAAATTCCAAAAATCACATCCGGTGCCAAGTTATGGACCATTTCCTGATTTTAAAATGAAATTTTGTCCAGGGATAATCTCAAGAACGGCTAAAGATATCAATGTCAAACTTTCAGGAATAATAGATCGTGATAAAGACTTGCCGGGAAGCTTATTTTTGTACGCCGTCGGCACTTCCTGTCGCTACAGGAAGTGGCTTTCAAAAATCGATTTTTTCATTTTTTTTGTTTTTAAATATTTTTCTGCGATATTAGTAGGGATAATAAAGCGTCTTATCGGATTACTAAATATATAATTTGTTTTAATGTTGATTCAAACATACTCTAGGAATTCGCTTTTTTCGTTTTAAGTCACTTTCTAATTTTGTGCACGCGATTTCTCAAAGACTATTGGATGGATTTAAATGAAATTTTCAGGAATAGTGTGTTGTAAAATGAACTTGATCTATCTGAGAGAAAATTTGGAAATTTACTTCCGGTGCCAAGT